GGGCTGGGAGGGGACAAGACAGGAGACGATACCTGAAAGCCTGGGCCTTCTGAAGACTGTAAAAGTGAGAGAGGAGGAAGAAGTTTGATTGGGTTTCTGCACAACGACATGAGAAGAAAAAGACAATTCGTTGTAGATCATATAGAAGCGAACAATTGGAAAATTAGAAAAGGTAGTAGTTGAGGTGGTGGAGGAGGAAGAGAAGGAGAAGGAGCAGGAGGACAAGCAGGAGGAGAAGGAGCAGTAGGAGAAGCGAGAAGAGGAGCAGGAGAAGGAGGAGGAGCAGGAGCAGAAGGAGGAGGAGAGGGGGAGATAGGAGGAGGGAGATATGATGGTTGTGGACCTGCTTTCGCTGTGTCTTTGCCTGAGGTAACTCTTGACGATCTGATCGAGTGAATTTGGTTTCGACACCGAGACAGTCGCCAACCCGCTGTGACTCTTCTCCAACATCCCATGAGCATGAAACCCTGCTGCCCCCGTCTCCCCGTTCATCGCTCCTGCTGCTGCTCCTGCTGCTCCTGCTGCTCCTGCTCCTCCTGCTCCTCCTCTTGTGACTGAGTCAGTCAGGCATCTCCTGCGAGGGCTGAGAGGATTTTCCGGTGTTGCAGGAGTCTGCAAGGATTTCAGTCAAGCCTTTGATGCTCCTCCTCCTCCTCCTCCTCCTCCTCCTCCTCCTCCTCCTCCTCCTCTCGTCATCTTTCATCATCCCATGCTCCTAACCTCTCCTCTGCCCTCCCCTCTTCCGCCTCCCCTTCTATCGCCCGCCTCGTGTTCCTCTCCTCCTGTCCTGTCCTGTCCTGTCCTGTCCTGTCCTGTCCTGTCCTGTCTTGTCCTGTCCCCTTTGCCCCCTCCTCTCCCTCCTCCTCTCCTCACTTCGAGCTCCAGGTCATGCAAACGTTCCTCCTCCTCCTCGGCTCCATCATCACCTGCGCCATGGCCATGGCGCGGGTTGGAGGACTCTCGGGCCTCTTCTCAAGCACTCAGGACAAGAGAAACCTTCATCTCCTCCGCTCCGACAGCGACACGCCGTGAGCTCCTGCCCAGCTAGACCACTGCGGTTGATGACATCATCATCACCAGGTACTCTCTGCTGGGCCTGCTGCTGGGGGCGCCGTTCCTCATCGGCTGGTACCACTGCTGCAACCAGGACATGGTTCAACGAGGGCTGGCAGCGAAGGATATGGAGCATGCGAAGGGAGGGTGCGTGATGGCGGGATGGCTGAAATTGCTGCCTCCCTTCCTGTTCCTGCTGCCCGGCATGGCTGCTCGCCTCTTGTTCCCGCAGGTGGGTGGAGTGCAGGGGCGGGGACGGAGGAGAGGAGAGGAGAGGAGAGGAGAGGAGAGGAGAGGAGAGGAGAGGAGAGGAGAGGAGAGGAGAGGAGAGGAGAGGAGAGGAGAGGAGAGGAGAGGAGAGGAGAGGGAGAAAGATGAGTAGAGGGGAGGGAGGGGGGGCGAGATGTAGCGACGACAGATCGGGCTTAGGAGAAAGTGGGAGGGAGTGGGAGGGAGTGGGAGGGAGTGGGAGGGAGTGGGAGGGAGTGGGAGGGAGTGGGAGGGAGTGGGAGGGAGTGTGCAGGGGCAGGATGTCTTGAGAAGTCAGATACCCGCACTGACTCTCCTTCCTCCCTCAGGAGCTTCAATGCCACACGACCCCTTCCTCCTCCTCCTGCAGCAACCCGGACGCTGCGTTCCCCCTCCTTGTCCACCAGCTCATCCCCGCAGGTCTCCGAGGCCTCGTCCTCGCTGCCGTCCTCGCCGCCATGATGTCTACCCTCGCCTCCGCCTTCAACTCCTCCTCCACCCTCTTCACCATGGACATCTACCTTCGTGCCCGTCCTTCCGCCTCCTCCCATGAGCTCGTGCTTGTGGGCAAGGCCTGTACTCTCCTCCTTGCCGTCCTCGCCGTCCTGTGGGTTCCCGTCATCAAGCGCCTCCGAGCTGCCGTCTACGTGTACGCACAGATGGCGAACGGATGCCTCTCTCCTCCCATCTTCACCCTCTTCTGCCTCTCCCTCTCCTCCTCCTCCCTCAACTCTGCTGGCGCTCTTGCTGGGCTCTCCCTGGGGCACTTGCTCGGCTTCACCCGCATGGCGGTGTGCATAGCAATGGGGGCTGCGAGGCCTCGCGCTCCTCCTCCTCCCTCCTCGAGCGTCTCTTCCTCGGGACCGAGTTCCTGCTCTTCGCCTTCGCCCAGGGAGTCATCTCCGGCCTCGTCATGGTGGTTGTGAGCTGGGCAACAGGAGGTGCAGAGCAGGAGAGGGTGCGAGGGCTGACGTGGAGCACGAGGGAGGACTCTAGAGTCTTCGACTCTGTCGCTTCCTCCTCCCGCCAGCTGCAAGGGGCGGCAGAGATGCTGGAGGAGGACAAGCAAGGGGAGACTGACGAGGCGCCGCTGGTTGAGCATGCGACTAGCTCCTCCTCCTCCTCCTCCTGGACTTCATGCGGTTGTTGCCGCTGCTGCTGCTACTTCTGTCTTCTCCTTTTTCCTTGACCCCTCACCTTCTCTTGCCCACTAGATACCATCCCCAACGCCCCTCCCCTCCCCTCCCCCTCTCCTCCTCTCCCCTGCTCTCCCTCCAACCCCCCCCACCTGCCCCTCCTCTCACTCCTCGTCTTTCAACCATCTAGCTTAGATCTCCTCCTCCTCCTCCTCCTCCTCCTCATCGGAAGTGCTGTACCATCTGGCTCACTTGGAACTTCACTTGTTCCTCCAGCAGCTGCAGCTTCAGTCTCCCTTCCTCCGTCGCCAGCAGATTCTCCATACACTCTTGCTGCAAAACATTTCATTAGTCTCTACCTCCTTCTGTCCTCCCTTCCGACTTGCTATCCTTCCTCTCTCCCTCCCTCCTCTACTCCTCCTCCATTACTCCTCCTCCCCTCCTTTTTGCTGTCTCCTCGTCTCCACCTCCCTCCCTCCTCCTCCTCCTCCTCCTCCTCCTCCTCCTCCCCCCCTCCATTTCTGCTGCCTCCCCTCTCTCTCCTTACTTCCTCCTCCTCTCCCCCTCACCTCTCTGTCTATCTTGTAGTCCCTGCTCAGCTCGTCCGCCCTTCGCAGGTCGCCCGTCGACCACATGAGAGGACGAGTGCAGTTTGGGTCCCGCCGCTGCGCCTCGTCGAACTCTTCTGCCGAGACCTACTCCGAGTCACATGAAGTAGAGGAGGAGGAGAGAGGAGCGAGGAGCGAGGAGCGAGGAGAGAGGAGAGAGGAGAGAGGAGAGAGGAGAGAGAAGAGAGGAGAAGACAGGAGGAGAGTGGAGAGAGGAGGGAGGAGGAGGAGGAGGATGACACGTATGGGGGCAAGGGCGTGGAGAGGAGTTGGAGAAGAAGTGAACGGGGAAGACGAGCAAGGAAGCGCGAAGGGGAGAGAGGGAGAGGAAGATAGCATCGATGATATTGGCGGGGATCAACATCACAACTTGAAGGAGAATATCCCACGAGCAACTTGAGGGATAACGACTTACTGCTCGCATGTAGTGCTTCGTGCAGTACGACCTGCCCTTCCAGTCAAGCTGCTTGTCCTTGATATGCTGCACCAGCACGCAACGGGGCCCGAGCTCATCGTTCCAGTAGCCGTAGCGGAAGTAGCGAACGAGAGTCTTCTTGTCGCAGTTGAGCACGTCGTCGATGATGTAGCAGATGAACTCTAGATCCGTCATGCACATGGGCGCGTCGTGCGATGCGAACCTGGTCACCAGTTCCTCCTTGTGGATGCCGCACAGTCGTGGCATCATGTCGTTTGTGAAGAAGTCCGTCCTTCGATGGTTCACTGGGTCCCAGAGGATTCGGAGGAACGCCACCTGCTCGTTCTTATTCCACATGTCCTCTTCCAGCCAGTACATGCTCGAGTCTGGCGGGCAGCTGCTCCCGTAGCCCTCTCCTCCTCCTCCTCCTCCTCCTCCTCCCCCTCCCTCCTCGTGCGCTCTGGACGACTTCTTGTTGAGAGCGTTGAGCAGCGTCGCTAGCCCGTAGCTGATGGTGTGCTGGAGCTGAGCTGGGAGGTTGTTGAAGATGTGCAGCAGCCTGTCAGCCTGCAGGCCGAACTCCCAGTAGCGCTTGAGGAGCTCGTAAGACCAGCACGTCGACCATTCCGCACCCAGCGTGAGGGGCTCGGGAGAGAAGCTGATACGGTTGATGCTGTAGGGGATGGGGCGCTGGATGCGAGGAGAGCGCTGAGCAGAGTAGTTGTCGAAGGAAGGGAGGGAGTCCGGGCTCCCTGCTGCCGTGGAGGCACTTGGAGAGATGGCCTGAGACGGCCGGTGGGAGACCTAGCGCAGGGGAGAGTGAGCTCGGGACCAGCTGGGTAGGGACATGAAGGCAGAGGAGGAGGATGAGAAGAGGGATGGTTGTCAGGAGGAGAAGAACGCGAGGTTTGACAAGACGTTGTGACAAGGTTGTGGGGATGTGCGAGAGAGGAGAGCGAGCGAGAAAAAGGGAGGAAGACAAGCAAGGGGAGGGGAGGGAGGAAGGGAGGGAGGGAGGGAGAGGGAGGGGAGGGGAGGGGAGGGAGGGAGGGAGGGAGGGAGGGAGGAAGGGAGGAGGAG